AAATAAAGGCTAACGTAGTTGAAATTGCAAAATACTTTCGTTACAATCACTTTGCAGCAGCTGATCTGAAAAAAGTGGGAGGAACCATGCTAACTCTCCCACAAGATGTGCGATGGAACTCCGTAGTGGATTGTTTGGAGCACTATATCAAGAACTGGCCTAATCTGATGACAATTTGTGAACAAAATCATGAAAAAATAAATGGCACTGTCACAGCCAAAGTTCTCAACATTGGGCTTAAGAGAAATACAGTAACTCCTCACTTACCGTACTCCCACTTAACATTGTTTCGAAGTTATATCGCTGCTCCATTAGGGAACATACTTGTTTAAAGTTGTGCAATGCTCCCTTATAACGTCGTTTGGCTGACTTTACAAGGGAGCATTGCACAAGTTCCTCTTCTCCGCCTCCTCCCCCTCCCTTCCTCTCTCCCTCCCAGTACTTCCCCCACCGCCAAACAGCTGTTTGGCAGTGCTTTGGACTTTCTGGGAGGGAGGGAGTGAGCGAGCGGGGAAGCTGTCCCCTCCCCCGGCCTGCAGCTCTAGAGCCCCTTTTGGAATGCGGCCCTGCGAGCCCGGGCCGGAGAACTCAGGAGGAGCAGGGGTAGCCGCACAGCCGGAAAGGAACAGCCCTTTCCCCCTCAAAGCTGGCCGGAGAGAAGCGGCGCTTTGAAGGGGAAAGCGCCACTTCTCTCCGGCCGCTGGCTGCACGGCTGCCCCTGCTCCTCCTGAGTCCTCCCGCCCGTGCTCACACCCTGAGCGCCCTCCCACACCCTAATTCCCTCCCAGACTCTGCACCCCCAGCCCTGAGCCCCAGGGGTAAGCCAGGGGCACCGCCCCACCACAGTACAGTACTGTACAGTATATAATGCCTTTTGTCTGCCCCAAAAAATTTTCCTTGGAACCTAATCCCCCGACTTTACATTAAATTTTATGGGAAAATTAGATTTGTTTAACATTGTTTCACTTAAAGTTGCATTTTTCAGGAACATGACTACAATGTTAAGTGAGGAGTTACTGTATTGAACACATGCTGAGTACCCTGAAGCCTATTTCTGTAGCCTTGAATAAAATGCAGGGAAATAGCTGTTTTATTGCTGATGCTGTTGAAATTTGGAATGAACTGAGTGAGATCTTAAAAAGAGAACTATGCAATGTCAGAGTTAAATTACAAGCATTAAAAAAAACGAATGGGACAAGTGCTATCTCTAGCTCATTTTCTTGCGAATATTCTCAATACTCGGTACCAGGATCAAACCTTAACTGCAGAAGAAGAGGAGTTGGCTATGACATGGACATCCAGCAATCATCCCTCCATAATGCCAACTATAATAAACTTCAGCGCTAAGGGTGAACCATTGAAGAAATATGTTTGCTGATGATCTTTTAAAGAAAGTCACTTAAGCACTTGGATTCAGAGACTGTTGAAGTGATAATCTCACTTTTAACAGCAGTAGCTTCTTCTGACAGTGTAGAAAGAATATTTTCTTTCTTTGGAATAATTCATTCCAAATTGAGAAATTGTTTGGGACCTGAAAAAGCAGGAAAGCTTGTTTTTCTTTTCCAGATTATGAACAAACGGGAAAATGAAGATGAAGATGACTGAGTTAGCTGCAGAAGCCAATATTTTAAGTTTCTCATGTTGACCTGGTTGACATAGTCAATTTAATTTGTTTTTTTTTTAAATATTTCATTTAACTATTTTAGTTAAAAACAATCTTAACAAAAACAAACCTGATTTTAAAAAACTTGTATGTTTAACTAAATTCAAAAATTCATATGCTTTTTTTGTTAAAATATTATATGTTTGCTGTTCAAGAAAAAAATCCAGAATACATAACGTTGTTGTTTTAGTTAAACAAAACAATTTAAATGTCTGTCTGGTGATGTTCTCCTCCTAATACAGCATGGCAAGAAAATCCTCAAAATATTAATTATTAACCTGTTGAATTGGAGATAGTTCACCTCCCAATGATTTCATAAATATTAGCTTCAATTACCTTTGGTAAATGAAATAACCAATAATTCATTTTCTGATATAGCTGTAAAACTAATCTGAAAAGTTTTCAAAATAAATCACATTAAAACTGTATAGTGTGTACCTTCTAAAAAGGTACTTCTTATCAAACTGTCTGTACTGGGCTATCTTGATTATCACCTCAAAAGTTTTTTTTTCTCTTAATTAATTGGCCTCTCAGAGTTGGTAAGACAACTCCCACCTGTTTATGCTCTCTGTATGTGTGTATATATATCTCCTCAATATATGTTCCATTCTATATGCATCCGAAGAAGTGGGCTGTAGTCCACGAAAGCTTATGCTCTAATAAATTTGTTAGTCTCTAAGGTGCCACAAGTACTCCTGTTCTTCTTCTAAAAAGGAAACCTACATCTATCTCTGAGTTGAGAAGAATCTGTATTAAGTTTATAACAACCAACAAGAATGCATTTTTATGTAGAAATCCATGATTAAATCGAGTCTCCCTGACTAGTGATTTAAATCAAATCCACCCTGTTCAGCATTGACTCAAAGAGAAGAGTGCCACCTACTTAATAACGAACATCATTTCCTGAGACATCTATGTATTCCTGGAGCCAAGTACTGGCTTTGCCCAACCATACTTAGCTGCTGAGGTCTGACAAGAGTGTAGTTTTTAATTAAGTCAGAACTTTCTGAAAAGCAATAATTGCAGACAAGCTCTTATTCACAGCTTTTCCCAATCACTATTATAGTGTTCTTCAAAATAAAAACAAAATGTTAATAACAGGGCTACCAAGCGATTAAAAACATTAATCACGATTAATCGTGCGATTAAAAACATTGTAGGATTGGAGCCTTTTGGTGCAGTTTCAGAGATTTTACCTTTACAGCACTCGGGTAACGAAAAGAGATTAGGGGTATGTGTTTTTATTTTGACACCTGGGATGATGATATAAAGACGTTTTATATGGAAGTGTTGAAAAAATCCATCTCTCCTTGGTAGTCCAGTTCTAGTCAATAGAACGTGAAAGATCCCAGGATGTTCTCACACCTACTGAGCATAAATGGGAAAACACCTTTGGATATTAAGCCAAAAGTAGCTGTTCCGATTTTGACGGCCATCCAAAAGAAATACTTTTTTTTTCTCTGGATTAGAGAGAGATAAAAATAATAAACTGGCTTTAATCTTAGTTTTGTTTTAAACTATGTGCAACAAAATTGTTAGCCTGTACTGTAGTACTTTGGAAAGTTTTCAAGCTTTGACTTCCATGTGACAGCACTTTGAGCCATAATATTGGCTAGCTCGAAGGCTAATTTATAGGGCTGTCAAGCGATTAAAAAAATTAATTGCGCAATTAATTGCACTCTTAAACACTAATAGAACACCATTTATTTAAATCTTATTGGATGTTTTCTACATTTTCAAATATATTGATTTCAATTACAACACAGAATACAGTGCTCGTTTTATTTTTTTTATTACAACCTAATATAAGTACTATACTGCAATCTCTTTATAATGAAAGTTGAACTTACAAATGTAGGATTATGTACAAAATATAACTGCATTCAAAAACAAAACAATGTAAAACTTTAGAACCTACAAGTCCACTCAGTCCTACTTCAGCCAGTCGCTAAAACAAGTTTGGTTACAATTTGCAGGAGATAATGTTTCCCACGTCTTGTTTACAATGTCACCTGAAAGTGAGAACAGGCTTCCGTATGGCACTGTTGTAGCCTAGTAAAGACCGATCAAATCGACTGCAGATTGCTCTCCAGTTGACCCCTGTACTCTACCCCCAATGAGAAGAGTAAGGTAAGTCGACGCAGTGTAGATCCTGCAGTAACTCGACCTAAGGTATGTCGACTCCAACTACGTTATTCACGTAGCTGGAGTTGCATAGCATAGGTCGACATAGCCTTAGAAATCTCACATTGGTACCTTCTTTGTGTTTTGTCAAATCTGCTGTGAATGTATTCATAAAACAAACATGTGCTGGGTCATCATCCGAGACTGCTATGACATGAAATACATGGCAGAATGTGGGTAAATCAGAACAGGAGACATACAAATCTTCGTATTGTCTCATTAAAACATTTTATTTCCAAGAGATGGACAATCACCAGTTTAGCTATTTTACACACATTGTTTTCCATTTCCCTATCCTTTGTCTCAGATTGTAAACTCTTCAGGGCAGGAGCAATGCTCCTTTTGTTTGTAAAGTGCCTAGCATATTGTGGACACTATGGAATCCAGCAGAAAAATAATAATTAGAATTACAATACTGCAGAACAGTTTCTACAGTCAGCCAATTATGATATAATGAATCACTTCTGAAGGCATTCTCAGGAGAATTCATAGCAAAATTACAGTAGTAGAGGTTATAGTGAAGCACACATTTATAAAAAACTGGGCATTTCGGGCAAATATTTTAAAGGGAATTACAATTTTAGAATATTATCACTGAATGAACATACCCATAAACTCATAAGCTTTCAACAGAATGAAGGTAAGAAAATTCTTCTTGTAGAAAATTTTATTATTATTTGTACTGTGGCCCCCCACTGTGCTAGGTACTGTACAGATTGGAAGACAGTTCCCACCCTGAAGAGTTTGCAATCTTTTTTTTTGCAAACACATAAAAAGGAAGAAACCGGAGTATCCTTTTTTCGGTTATGTGATTCCCTACCGCTTCTGCCCCCCTCAGATAAAAAGATAAGTTCCAGTATTCAAATTATAACTCCTTGGTATGGGTTAAACTCCACCAAAAGATCAGCTCACAAGAGATAAAGCTTGCATGTCCATTAATTTAAAAAAAAAAAAAAAAAAAAAAAAAAGAAACAGAGAAAAGTAGTTTATCATAACATCTCCATCCAAATATACTGGTATTCGGAGGAAGCTTATTGAAGTGCTCTAGCATGTGTCAAAATTACCACCAAGTAACCTACTAAAAAGTCTAAGTTGAAAGAAGTATTAATTACCACATAATTAAATTCCATACAAACAAATGTAAATAGCTTACCTGGCAAATACCCTGTCTTTGTTTGCTTTTTCTTTACCATACTGCACAGACTGGACCTCTGTCCTCCCACTGAAAGAAAATTACAACATTGGAAATGTAAAAGAAACTTCTCTACTTAATAAATATAGGCAAGCTGTACCTCCTCAGCTTAAATGCTAAATTACGCTCTCAGTTATGTCCAAACCATCCCACTGACTTCAGTGGGTTTTACTAAGGGTGGAATTTGGATTTACGTATTCAAACCCAAGTCTCTTCTTTCACCTTAAAATCTGTTTTGTAACACAGAGAGATTTAGTAATATTTATTCCATCTACAAAATAAAGCTCTATCTCCTTTTCCATTTTAATGCAGTCAGAGCAAGCGACCTACATCACATACTTTCACCCTTTGGAGGCACTTAATACTGTAAATCCTCCCTGCCACAAACACTACTAAAACAAAGAGCATGCTCTCTGTATTGCTCCCTACTTCCTTTAAGGAGCCAGTTTTGAGTTCACTCTTGAACTTCAGGTGCACACACGGCAGGATTCTGGGGCAGGTAATTCTGTAGTTAGCAAAATAGATAATATGGCCCTACTCACCATCCTAGAACAGGAAGAACTGCAGCTAACTACTAATAAACAGAGAAATTCAGGTAGAAAAATTAGTTCTATTAATGACCAAAAGAGGACATCTTGCTAATTTTAAAAAAATTCCAAAACAAAACAGAAAAACATTGCTTCATGAGTCAGATAAGGGTTTACTTTGACACTTGTAAATGCCACTAAACAGGCCTTTTAAAAGCTTATGCCTATAAAAGAACAGGAAGTTAGTTACTTGTCATTGTAGCATTTTTGCAAAAGGTATCTAGTGACAATAGATCATCAACTTGTGGATCATATTCCTATTATGAATATGGGTCAAATTTCTGCATAGCTTGAAGGTCTTAACTATTGCACTGCCTCATCATTAGAGGAGTACATCTGCCTCAGTTACCCGATGGACAGTAACTTCCCTGCCTCTATTCCTTAAAACAATTTAACAAAATAATTACACAGAACTCTGAGGCCAAAGTGGTTGGGGGAATAGGTATCTATGTTAAGCTATTTTCCCAGAATAACAACGATCATTCCTTATCTCAAAAAAAACCAAACAACAATAAAAGAGAGAGCATGGTCTACAAGACCCAGGATATGCGAGCTGCCAGGGGGGTGAGGGGAGGGGAGAGACAGACACGGGACCCCCAGTGCTGTCAGCTACCACGGGCAGCAGGGACCCCTGAGCTCCGAGCCACTGGGGCTGCGGCAGGGGCCCCAGAGCTGTCACCCACCACAGTGGTGGGTCCTGGACTCCTCCCCGCCCCCCACACACCCCAGAAGCAAGGCTCAGACTCTCTTCCCCTCTGCTTGAGCTTCAGTCTTTCCCCTGTCAAACCTCCTGCCCTTATATTTAGTAAAAGTCACAGAAATGTCACAGGGTTCCATGAATTTTTGTTTATTGCCCGCGTCTGTGACTTTTATTAAAAATAACAGTGAAAAAATCTTAAACCTTAATCATGATGGTCTCTTCTGTCCTTAAAGTCGATGAGTCTCAGGGCCTCCCCTGGGCCTGTATCATTTTGGATGGCTCATATAGAATATATTTTCCATTTGAGAAGTTAGTCTTGAGGGAACACTCTATCAGTAGTGCTCAGCAGTCAAAATTCAAGGCATCAGGTGCAACATCTGACTTTTATTCTGAGATATTATGTCAGGGCAGGTTGGGAGGTGCACAAGGGGCTATCTGCAACAAGTCTGACAGCCAAAACTGCCTCAGCTTGAAGAGAAAGGAGAAGCTCTGGACACTGGAGGTGTCCATCCATGGTGCCAACTCAGGCCATGCAGCTGTAAGAAGGAGCTAGAGAGGCAGTCAGTCCACCATGCCCCTTATACTCCCCATGCGGAGCATGAGGAGAACGGTGCTTGCAAGAATTCTCTGGTCTCAAAAGGAGTGCATGTGTACACACAGTGGAATATACACAGGTGCCAGCACTCGAAGAATTCAGCAATCCTAACAAGATTCTTGAATGCTTTTAAGTCATCTGTTACCAGTACTGCTTCATCAGGCAATGAAGATGAGTACCTGTAGAGGTGATATAGGTGATATAGGTTGCTATTGTTTCTGATCCCTTTTTCTTGATCTTCTGGCGTAGGTAATCTGGCCAGAGACAAGTGATGAGGGAAGTGACCTCTTCGTTGAGCATGGTGTACTACAGTATCTTCAATAGGGCTGTGTAATATGGCTGACTTGTGTATTTTTGGCCCGGCCAGTGTCTTTCCTGATGAGCTCACAGCGTCTGAGCCCTGCAGGGAAAACTAGTATATTTTTCTGTGGTGTTCATCACTGACCTCAGAGGAGAGGATTCTCTGCTGAAGAATAAGAGAACATATGCTCCAAGGACAGAGAGTAGGAATATATCTTCTCTAGGGGCAGCTCAGCTGCATATGACGTTCTCTGTAATGGAATCTGTACTAGTAGGTGCTTTGACATCAATGACGATCCCAGTTCTCCTAGGGGCACATCAAAACCAAGAATGTGTCACTTGAGCTGGGGTCAGTGTTGGAGAAGTTTGTATCTGTGTCATAAGCTGCTCCATATCCTTACCAGTCCATGACACCATGCAGAGAGTGATGGTTTTATTTCCAGACACTTTATATTATCTGTTCTTATAGGTGGACTCTGAGCTCTGTCTGGAATCTCTGTCTCTGTGCTCAAAGCACCTCCTCCTCGTGCAGACTTCAATGCCCCTCCCTGTATAGCCCCTCCCATGGCTATATAAGGGCTGCACCGTCCCAACCTCCTTCTCACCATCTTCGGCTAGAGTTGGAGCTCTTAGCATGATCTTTCCTTACATTTGTCTTCATAGCTCTTTGTGACTTTCTTTGTATATAATTATAGTTAGTACCATTAGTTAGCAGTTAGGTGGTTTCTTCCAGTGGGATGCCCTTGTGACTGGTTCGATCACAGAGACCCCCTCGGAACTGTCACCTGACGTGCTGGAATTACCTCTGAGCACGTTTTCCCTGCCAGCTTCGGACTCCAGAACACTGCCTTGTTGAGCCAGACACGCTAGCCTGATGCAACACAGACCTAGGTCTGGTCCACGCCTACAAAGCTGCAGACTTTAACCAAAAACTGCTCAGCAGGTCACCTATCTCCAGTACCCAGACCCCAATGGGATACAAACCCCAAATAAATCCGTTTTACTCTGTATAAAGCTTATACAGGGTAAACTCATAAATTGTCCACCCTCTATAACACTGATAGAGAGATTTGCACAGCTGTTTGCTCCCCCAGGTATTAATCACTTACTCTGGGTTTACTAATAAACAAAAACGTGATTTTATTAAGTATAAAAAAAGTAGGATTTAAGTGGTTTCAAGTACACCTCTACCCCGATATAACGCTGTCCTCGGGAGCCAAAAAATCTTACCGTGTTATAGGTGAAACCGCGTTATACTGAACTTGCTTTGATCCGCCGGAGTGCGCAGCCCCGCCCCCCCAGAGCACTGCTTACCGCGTTATATCCGAATTCGTGTTATTTCGGGCTAGAGATATACAAGTAAATCTCACCCTCAGAGATGTTCAAATAAGCTTCCAATAACCTAGTCTGGGCCCAACCCTTTCCCCTGGTACAATGCTTGTTAGTTACAGCAGACATTACTTAGGTGGAAAGCAGGGGTGTTCTCATGACTGCAGCCCCCTTTGTTCTGTTCCACCCCCCTTTTATAGCTTTTGAACAAGGCAGGAATCTTTTGTCTCTCTGGGTCCCCACCCCTCCTTCTAAATGGAAAGGTACCAGATTTTAGATGGATTCCAGTATCCTGTGACACGGTCACAAGTCCTTTGAGACCCCAGTGGAACTTGAGCTTCACCATGTACTGGTTCAGACCCCGTAGATCCACTATGGGCCTGAGACCCCCTTTGGCCTTCGGGATAAGGAAATAACAGGAGTAAGTACCCCTTGCCCATGAACTCCTCGGGCACCGCTTCTATCACTCGTAGTCCTAGGAGCCGCCCCACCTCCTGCTCAAGCAGAGTTTCGTGCGAGGGGTCCCGCAGGAGAGACGGGGGCAGAGGGTGGTTGGGCGGGGAGGAGGTTAACTGGAGGGTGTAACCCCGGGAGATGGCGTTGGGGACCCTTCGGTCTGAAGTGAGCTGAGACCATTCTGGAAGGAAAGCACAGAACCAGTTGGAGAAGGGAAGCTTTATTGGGGTTGGATCCCTGATGAGGACTGGTGGGTTGCCCCTGAGTGTCCCATCAAAATCGCCTTTTCCCCGCCTGCTTGCCCTTGGAGGATCCAGGCTGGAGGGCAGGCGGAGACTGCTTGTGAGGGCATCTCTTATAGTCCCGTTGCTTCTTATGGGCGGCCTCGTACTTCTGGAGGGCGGCCGGGGTCGGCGTCTGCTGCGGCTTGAACTTAGGTTTTGCTGGAGCCGGAACATAGAGACCCAAGGTCTGGAAAAACAACAAGGAGTCTGGTGGCACCTTAAAGACTAACAGATTTATTTGGGCATAAGCTTTCGTGGGTAAAAACCTCACTTCTTCAGATGCATAGAGTGAAAGAAGTAGTAGTGAGGTTTTTACCCACAAAAGCTTATGCCCAAATAAATCTAAATGTTTTGGTAGATACAGACTAACACGACTACCCCCTGATACTTAAGGTCTGGAAGGTCGTGCGAGAGTCCTTCATTCCATGCAGCCTTGTATCTGTTTACTCTGCGAACAGAGCCTTCCCATCAAACGGGAGATCCTGCATGGAAGATTGCACTTCGCTGGAGAGCCCGGACAGCAGGAGCCATGACGCCCGTCTCATGCACACCATGGAGGCCACTGAACGTGCGGCCATGTCCACAGCATCCAAGGCAGCCTGCAGGGAAGCCCGAGCTGCCGTTGCCCCTTCCTCCACCAGCGCCCTGAACTCCTTCTTATGCTCCTGGAGGGAGACCTCAAAGTTAGGCAGGGAGCCCCACAGATTAAATTCATACCGACCCACGAGGGCCTGATGGTTTGCCGATCGTAACTGGAAGCACGAAAATGAATAAATTTT